CTGTTTTATGATGCCAATGACACTGTTAGGACTTATCCTTCAGTGGTTGTAGTTACATCTGGGCCCGGAGGCTCTTATGGTTCAAAGCTGCTTTGGTAACAGGGAATACTTGATGGACTTGTTCTAACATTTGCAGGAAACTGTTTTGAATGTTGTACAGCAGTGACTTCAACCTTTTTTGAGCCGTGATAAATTTTTTAATTCAAAAAATTCTCAGGCAAACAACCGACCTAAATATAAATTATATTATGCATACAGTTAATTATATAGTTTCTACATGTATTTATACTCAGTGTGAAACCTGGGCCTGTTTTGATGAACACAAAAGGGATATTCTAGCAGGAAAGGTAGAAAGACACACACAAAGCTCTTTCTCAACAGTTCTGTCTCTCTCTGTTTTTAGTTTTTATCTCAGTTAAGGTTGAGCTCAGCTCAAACAGACGTGGTTGAAAACAGGAGAAATGTCAAAATAGTTTTGTTGGCCATAATTGGGAACTTCTTAGCAACAGATAACCAAAAACTGTCCAAAGGAAGATCAGCAAAGTTTTGCTTTAGACCATGATCTTGTTTCAGTTCAGTGAGTTCCTCTTGTTCCTTTAAAGCAGGGGTGCCCAACCAGTCGATCGCGGTCTACCAGTCGATCGTGGGCAGAGTTTCAGTCGATCGCGAGAAGTAAATGTAGACCTATTTATGGCTATAACAAAAAAAAAAAAGTTTTAAAAAACACTAATCAAATCATTGATAACGAGAGGCCAATGTGTGTTTTCATAATAATAAAATGCAGGGAACCTTTTTTTATGCATGGACGTTGCGATGAACATCGCTTGCCCTGTTCGGGCCAGGAGTTTTCAGAGGCTTTTATTCCGTGCCCAGCTCGAGGAGGCAGGTGCAGACCACTCTGATCTGCTGCTGCACACCGACGTCAGGTGGCTGAGTTGTGGCAGATTCTTCGAAAGATTTTTGGAACTTTTGCCCAAAATTAAAGTTTCTGAAACAGTCAACAACCCATTCTGCTGTATGTTACATCTTAACACCCGCATAGTTTGTAGTTAGTATTTTCCTCTTTTTATCTGTTTTCCTGTTGAATTTGAATCCATCTGCCAGTTTCTCTGCCAATGCCCAGTGAAGTTTATCATTTCCTTTCCTTCTCCTCCTTTCTGTTTTGAAGTGATCTTAGACTTAGACAGATTTTATTTGTCATTTTTTTACACAAGTGTAAAATAAAAAGAAATTTAGTTTGGAACAGCTCTGGACAATTTCATCTTTTTTTAAAGTGCAGCCTTGAAAAGTAGTAAAAAAAAAAATAAATATATGACATTTTTGGTACATTATATATTGTGGTGGGAAAAATCAATCTCCTATGAACTCCCTTAATTCATACATTGATTTATGAGTGCTGAGTTACATTAATTCAGGCCTAAGAGCTGCAAGGCTACAAGGTGTCTGCGGGAGAGGGATTGTTTACCCTATTAGGGAGTGTATTTGGGATAAAAATAATCATACTTAAATCAAGCTAGACTATTTCTCAGGAATTATTTCATAACATTTTATGTTTTCTCTAACAGTCTGTATTTGTTTTGGGTAACGGTATATTGAGACCTGGGCTACTGCCATCGACGTCTTTGATGATAGGGTTGGGTCTGTTTTTAGAGCTTAGTCTTGTTTAACTCCCAGACATGGCTATTGGCTCAGATTTTACTGTAAAGAAACGTGAGTGTTCCTTCATCCTTTTTAAAATAAAAAAAGGGCTCAGTGCTATGAGGTGCCTTGAGATGGCGTGTTAATTGCAGGTATATAGATACGCAGATTTGGATTATATACACTTCATTTCATTTTATCTCCCTCAAAAGTCAAATAAGTTAAAGCAGGAAACATCTTAATTTCTAAGTTACAAGGTTAGTAGAAAAGAATGGAAAGATATGGGGCTGCCTATGGATATAATAGCCTATATAGATAATACATTTAATTGCCTTAAAGACCCGGCTTGATAAGGGGACATATGCTTGTAGATGTGGCAAGAAGAGAAAAAAAAGCGCATGTACAATATAGGAATTGGACATCAAATAACGACACACCTTATTAGATAGACACCAACCTTTTGTGATGCATAGTTCTACAGAAAGAAGAGGCATATTTACTAACAGGAAATGTTTTGCCCTCCATTCTTTCGATGACAATGACAACATACTGTAACTCAGTATACCACTTCTCTGCTAAACTAGATTTAAATTATGTTACAGTTTAAATCCGGTTTGAAAGTCATTTACTATAAGAGTAGGTATTTTTAGGATATATGTGTCATTTAAAGACTGATTCCTAAAGATAAAAATGAATTTAGAATAATACCCCAGGCCTAAGCACCTTTGGGGGCAATAGCCTACATTTCATTTTGTAATACTCATAAGTTTTTGTATTTTTTATAAGGGTGTTTTTTGTATTAAATAGTTCTATCTAAGATATGGATGGTTTTTAATATATATTTTTTTTTTCTGTTTGTGTCCTATAAGTCTTTATGGATATACAAAGAAGTATCAACAAGTGACCAAGTAAGATGCTGATGTCCCTTGATTGCTGTGAAACCATGTTATCTAAACTAATCTATGTCTGTTGAGATACAGAGCAGTTGGCACATATGCTCTGAGACTATTCATCCATCCATCTATTTTCTTACACGCTTATCCCAAGTGGGGTTGCGAGGGGTGCTGGTGCCTATCTCCAGCTGTCTAGGGACAAGAGGCGGGGTACACCCTGGACAGGTTGCCAGTCCATCGCAGGGCGAGACTAATCAGGATAGGGCAAAAGAGAGACATTTTTTCTCTTCTCAGAAAACAGGACAGATGGACCCAATATTCAAGTGAGTCAGACAGCGGGAATTTTCTAAACGTTTTTTTACAGAAAATTAACAGAAACTGCTGTGAATCTATAACCGCTGCAGGGGGGACTTCTGCTGGTTTCTAATTCCTTTTTACATTATTATATATCTGAAAGGGCACTTGAATGACTGAAACTTTGGTAAATATTAAACCCTGTTTTATGTAACTGTAAAACTGCATCTAATGATAAGTCCATATTCAAGGGCAAATTATGATACAATTGCTTGAAAAATCAAGCACAAATACATTTATTTCAAGAAAATTTTACTAACATAAAACCCCTTCTCTTAGACAGAGCAGCAAATGATTGAAAAATAGGGCTGACTGCCAAGATCACACTGTCTGATTTATGAGAAATGACTATTAGAAAGAATGAGGAAATTATTTCTGTTACTTGGAAAGGATAAAAGAGCTGATGGAAAACATTCGCTGTCATTCTGACACCATAAAATACTGTGAAATGTGATGCTTGTTACTGTATATGCAGGTCGCAATCATTGTTATATATACACAACAGGTTCCGTTGCTGTGTTGGCAAAAAAAAATATTTTTAGTATCAACTGATTTTTTTTTCTAAAATATCAAAACTTAAGAAGATAAGCTACATTTTCACTGATAAACTGTATGACAACCTAACATTTAGGAAGCATAGATCATATTCTGTGTGCCAGCTTGCTGTAATATAAGATACTGTAAGTTTATAATGCACCTTCCAAACAGTTTACTGAAAAGTATTCGGATTGAACCCTAGCTCAATGACTCAATGTCAGAAACATAAAAAAAGATGAAAACAAAGATTAACTGCAGGTTTCATTTAAAAACATGAATAGCTGCTGGTCTGGTGACTAAAACATTGTCACAAAAACTAAAAGACACATTTGATTAACATCATGGACCCACATAAAAATATATCTGTAAAAATTTTGTATTATTATTTTTTAATTTTCAATCATGCCTGTTTGTGTTTCCATTGTTTATTCATGTTTTTAGTTGCTTTTTGTCTTATTTAAGCCCGTTCCTTTGCGTTTTTTCAGTTTTCTTGCCATCTTCCTACCCTCTGTTGTTTGGTGTTCTTGAGATGTTGTTGTTTTCATTTAATGTTCTTTTCATCATTATGTTTCTCCCTATGTCCTAGCATTCCATTAGTTTCTTACCGCCTTAAAGGTATAGAGGACGATAATTTATTTCTGGGTGGATCATCAAAATATGGTCCTCCTAATTGCCAAAAATTGTGGTGATATATTTCCAGGATATGCTAATGCTTTTGTAGTTATTGATAATATCTCTCCATGTAATCTAAACCTAAAACTGTTAGTAGGCATTATTAGGTTGGTAATGTCTGGTTTATCTTTAAGATGTTGTCCATGTAAACATGCTAAATAATATATGAACAATAGATGTGGATGACATTAGTTTAATCTGTTGTTTGTGATTATGATTTATTTCAGAAGTTAGCTTTCATCTTCTTCTTAGTGCTTTTTTTAGTTGGGCTGGGCTGCTATTCACTGCAAAGCGAGTACAGATAAGCTCTACAAATTATTAACCACTACTGCCCATAATTAACAGAAAGTATATTAAGTAAATTTCATGAACATTTTTGAGAATATAAATTCAAATTCACTAAAGATGGACACACAGAATGGGACACTTAGATTGAGATCTTTAATTAAACTATTAGATGATATATGATGGATGTATTGGACAAACGGTTGTATGAAGATCAGAATAAGAGCTTCTAAAGCAGAGACAAAAAAAAAAAATACTTCAGAGATGCAGGGAAGGATCCTGTCTGTAAGAAGGATCCTGAGAGGGTGGAAATGATCCTCATGTATGAAAAAAAAAGGATCCATCTAAAAACTTTGATAAACCTGGGTTCCCAGCAAGGACCAGGAGCAAAAGCCATGCGGCCAAATAGATTCACAGAACTAAATAGGGGAAGGCCAAAATGAATTTGGGTGTCTAAATCAACAAGCTCATTTTGAAAAGCGGAAAAATGAACACGAGACAAACCTTACATTTTCATTCCTGCAACTACCGTAAGCATCTGGTTTCATATCTGACATACCTCAAACCAGCTTGCAGACAATGACTAGCCTATATATTTGTGCTGTAGTAGGAATTTAAAACACTCCTCAGTTCTTAGTCAGGAAGAGGACGACGACTCCACCGGCTGACTTTTCTGATACAGGTAGAGTGCACTGATATAAATCCAAACATCTGTTTTTGATGTCTAAATTAATTTATAGTTTTTGATAGTGTGTTTTCTAATATGTATTCCAGGTACAACCATGAGACTACTAGGTTACTTTTGTCTTGTGTTGAACTTGGCATTTTCATCAGCACTCTCCCTCCCTTCTGTAAGTATGTGCATGGGTTTATATTTTAAAGTATTATACCAATAACATTAACATAAACATATATAAATATATATATATATATATATATATATATATATATATATATATATATATATATATACATACATACAGAGACACAGAGAGAGAGATATCTATTTTTAATCCCTGAGCAATCATTAGAAATTCCGTGTACCAACCTAACACTTGTAAGGCAAAAATTAAGAGTTCATACTGTATTATAAGGGAAAATATTTCTTTTAAATATAGTTGTATGTTCTTACTGTATGTTTCATTTTTTCAAACCTTTCATTCCAGGCAGAGGTAGAGATAGTTGGTAAGTTTCTTTTTTCTGTCTTTTATATATATATATATATATATATATATATATATATATATATATATATATATATATATATATATATATATATACATATTTTATATATAGAGTATCTTGACACATTTATTAAATTATTGCCAATTATATTTATGGTTGATGTGTCTTTGTAGATGTTGGTGAAAACAACACTATCGAAGAGGGTAAAGTTAAATTTCTCTTCTCATTCACATTCACCTTTGATTAAGTGATTTCTCTGTTAGACTGACCTTTGGTGAAGTGATTTCTCTATTAAAACCAGTAATTTATTGCTCTAATTTTAGATTTAACGCTTGATGATATTCTTGAGGTAGGTTTAGTTCTACAAGCATATAATCAAGCTGCTAATCTTAAAACAAACATATATGAATGTTCTGTCTTATGCTGTTTTGCTTCATGCACATTTTTGTTAGCCTCCTAACATTCAAAGAAGCAGCATTCTACCTGGAAATGATCTCTGGACATCGCCAATCCCCTATGTCTTGGATAAAGACCTGGGTATTAATTTATTTTTTAATATAGAATAAAAATCGAATTTCTTTAACCTGTAATTATAGGCTGTGGCATTTATTGTTCCAACAAGGTTCTGTATATTAAATGCTCACTGCTGAAAATGCGGTGTTTATCAAAGTTAAAAAAAGGCTTTAATGTCATGAATGAAACACCAGTAATTAATCTAATGAAATATATATATGTATATAATATATGTGTTTAAAAATGTCCCCAATTAATTCTTTTATGATTTAAGGCTGCAGAGTAATTCTATGTCATGTTCTTTGTTGCACTGCTTTGTAACTGATTTTACAATGAAAGAGTTGAACGCCAAAGGAGTGATCATGAGAGCCTTTGACCAATTCAGATTGAAGTCATGCATTGATTTCAAACCCAAGGATTCTGAGGACTACTACATCGATATCCAAAAGTTAGATGGGTAAGTTCTCTGTTATTGTCTTTTACAATGAAAACAAAATTCCAATTAAATATAGGTATTTTGTAGGGGTAAAACAATTACTAAATAATGATTAATTCCATATTATGATTAATGGTTTCCAATTTAATTAATGAACGATTTTGGTTCTTTTAGAACGATCCGGTAGATTCAGTGACTTGAAGTCAGTTGAGTAAATCTTTAGCCCAAATGTAACCAATGTGACTGTGAAATAAATACCTGCATACTGGACAGAGTATTTTCTGGACTATCAGCCGCTATTTTTTCCCCATGATTTGAACCATGCGACTCCTTGTGACTCCATTTAAAACAGATAAAGTCACCCACTGTCAACTTTAGGTATTACAGCAAACAGGAAAATAAACAAAAACTCCAAAATATGGCTCTAATAAAGACATTAATGTAAAAAGACATATGAAATTGACATGCCTGCTGTTACTGTCATTGTAAAAATGAAACAACAGAGCACTCATGATGAAATACTAGCAAGTGACTACAGATTTTTTTTCTTCAAAAACATCAAGTGATCCACATGATCAAGCCGCGGTTCTTTGCATATAAATTGGTCGTGTTGTGTTTTGCCCAAGATGAGATTTTGCAGTCGCTGAACATGCTGGTGAGGCTTCTGTAGATCTTACCATTAGCTTTAAAGCAGCTGACTTACCGTGATGATGCTGCAAAGGAATGTTGCCAGCGGCTATGGTGGCTGGTTAATTATTGTTAGTAAACTCCTGCTCTGTGAACTCTCCAGTCACCCATTGTCATGAAATCACAGACAGACGGACTTAATCCAATCATGTTAAACATCTTTATCATAAAAAGTGCTTACATAAAAACCACCTAAGGAAAACAAAACTACCATGCTTCAGTGTGTTAATTAATAATATCAATACAGTAAAATTATTACCATTTAAAACGATCTTAGAGTACTTCATGTCATTTTTATTAACAATTTGCCGAACACAGATTGATGTCATTGGATTGCAGAAATAAAAGTTCATCCATCAATTAATTGATGAATCGTTACCCCTAATATTTTGACATATTTGACTATGACATCTTAGGATCTGGTATACAATTTATTTAATGTCCCTGAGTTGAACTGAACTTAAAAAGCTATTTAATTATTTTATTGACTCACAGGATTCAGGAAAAAAACAGTGATATGTTTTGAAATGTGTTTTGTATACTGTAATAATGTTATATTCTCAACTTTAATGACTTTCACTGGTTAAAGATGCTTTACTTATCTCAAGGTTTTGATATACAAACCTCTGGTGTTTTTCTATTGTAGGTGTTCCTCATATATTGGTCAACAAAAATCTCCCAATGGACAGGTCCTCTCTATTGGTTCACGCTGTGACTTTCTTGGCATTGTTGAGCATGAGATTCTCCACGCTCTTGGATTCTACCATGAACAGTCAAGATATGACAGAGATGATTATGTGCAGATCGTATATGCCAATATTATAAGAGGTAGAACAGATTTAATTTTTATCATAATATTTTTTAAACAAGGTTTTGTTCTGAGTTATTGATGTTTTTTTTAAGTTAGCATACATACATTTTCTCAATTGTAATGTTGAAGTGGTGTGTCAGCCATGACAGTCCGAGACAATCCAGGGTTCTAAGGTTATCAGGGTAGATCTCAACGACCCCTGAAGCCTTGAGACTGTGGAGTTTATTTGACCACCTTAAAGTATTCCTCCCACTGTCTGACAATGTCCTCATTCAAGGTCAAGAGCTCCCACCTTCCACTAAAAGCAGAACGAGCAAAGCACTGATTCCCCTCTGGAGGCACCAGAGGGCTTTCCAGAAATGCTTTGAGGCCAACCATGGTTGCTTCAAACTCCTCCCAGCCTGAGTTTTTGTCTTTAGAAATGTACCCTTGACCTCACAATATCTACTTACTCCCCCAAGATTCCAATACGATAACACGGCTCCATAGGACTTCTTATTTAGCTTGACAGCATCTCTTAGTGAAAGTCAAGGTTAAATCTGAAGTTAATAAAATTCAATTAGGCAAATACTTAAAGGCAAAAACCCCAAACTTTTTTTTTCTTAAATATGTTATATATGCATGCATATAAACTCGGGCATCAAGTGGTTAATCAAAACAAGTTAAAGAAAAGAGTGAAATGCTGAATAAACCTTTAGTCTAAAGGAGTCTGGCCTCTATTCTAAACTACTCAATAGTACTAAACAACCCCACTCAGCCTTGCAACAGCCTAAATTAATAATTTAATTTCATACATGTGCATATAAATCTAAATTAGTTTGAAGGCCCAAGTAGCATGATAAAAGACTGAAGCAATCCGTAAGCCAGTAGATAGTTCTTTACAGCCCTGTATACTATTTAGATATGGGATCTTTTGTATCTCCAATACTTTTTATTGCCAAAATAAGCTATAAATAATACATGCAGAAATTTACTGAAGTTTAAAACCAGTTCAAAAAATTGTAAATAAGCATCTGACTTCTTTTGTATGCTGTAGATTTCACTTAGATATATACAGTATTGTATTTCAGTAGTCGAGATATAAAAAAAGAAGGGGATGGTGTAACTTTGTTTTTGGAAGTATACATAGCCTAATTAATATATTCTATTACACTAAAGCAATATGCATGGTATGGTTGTTATATGTCAGGTAAGCTGGTCGTTGACCTTGACCAAGGCACCTTATAGTATAACTGCAGTCAGTCCCTGGACTGGCATGGCTATCACTGCCCCTACATAGTTAGGGACAAATGCAGAGGACAAATTTCCCACCGGGATCAGCTTCATAGTCATGGTAGGCCACTTCTTTGATTTTACTTTGGAAATTCTTTTGGCAATGAATCTATTAAGATTTGGCACAAAACCTCACAAAACATTGCAAATGAATATCTGAATCCTTTCAAGTCAAGTATTTTTTAATTCAAATTCAATCAATTAAATAGAAACAGCAAAAACTATTTTCAAAATAAAAAAAAAACAAACTGCTTACAAATTCATATACATTAGAATTAGCCTGAAAATGAAATAAGGCTGTATAAAATCTAATAAATTTACTCACCTTTCCAATATTCATTTTGAGTATTTATTTGATAAAATAGAATGTTTATCAGAAAATCAGTATACATGCTGGTAATGAATGACTTCTATTTGGCCACATGCTGGTAATGAAAAAGTTAAAACTATTTAACAGGTCCGTCAAGCTATATTTACCATTGATCGGACAACAGGCCTTCTGCAAGTCACACGAGGGACCTTGCAGTCAGATGTCAACATTCAATTCATTTATGACCACTGGCCAGACAGTTCCTTCAAGATATTAATCTTAACACGTTTCTTAAATTGCTTAATTAAAATGCATTTTTAAAACCTTCGATTTTCTCCTCAGGGTGTCGTTTGTGCCGAGAATAACCTGCCTGCCGAGAATTACCTCCCTTGTCGCTGGAGCGTGCATGGCCCTAAACTCATGCCCATTGATGAGAAAACTGATTGAAATATGAACGAAAAGGGACATTTGAAACATATTGTTAATGTTTTCATATTCCTTACTAATGGATGTCCTAAAATTTATAGTTTTGGTGGACAGATAAATTCAAATTAATAGGATTTTACTTGTATTGCACAATCAGTGTGGAATTCATAAATTCTCTGCTCAGTGGATGCCAATTCCAGATTTTGCTATTACCACCATTCTAGATAATTTCTGACACTTTATTTGTTAAACTTAGAACCTGGAACCTGCCAGCAGTGTTGGGAAAGTTCTCTTTCTACGTCAACTAGTTCAAAGTTCAGTTCACACATTAAAAAAAAATGAACTATTTCAGTTCATAGTTCATCAAAATATTGAACTAAGTTCACAGTTCCAAAAAATTAACTAGTTCATAGTTCTTTTTTTTATATATATATTTATTGCTCAATTACAGCATAGCCCACA